ATACATTCGAAAGACTCTTGCATTGGACAAAACTGAGCAGGAAGCTCTTGAGTATTTCATGAAGCAAATGAATGATGCTCACCATGGTGGCTGGACAACAAAAATGGACTGGATCTTCCACACAATAAAGCAACATGCCTTGAACTGAAATGAAAGCAAAGAAAACAAGAACTGATAGCCCGCTTTGGGGGTACTGCACTGTTAAAACCTGTTTGTTAGCAGCAAAGACTGGTTGCATAGGAATTGCACAAACCACGAATGACATTAGAACTGACAGCAAGAAAAGAGTTGAACTGTTCAGACAATTGTCGAAAAATAATGTAAAACAGGGTTTCAGATAGCACTAAAATTGTACACTTCAAAAATTAAGCTTTAGTAGGATGTGTGACTTGATGTTATGCCTTAAGCCCAAAAAGGTAAACTTGGACGAATGTTTCCTTTTTTCATGTGATAGGATAAATTAGAAGGAGAAAGAAAATAGCGCTAGCGTGCAAAAGAGTCCATCATATATTACCTTAGATCTGGTACAACAGGTAAAGACTATGCTGGATTGAGAAGAGTGGAAAGAGAACTCAAGTGACAGTGAGTCTTTTTTAGATGCAGCATAGTTTAAAGGGAAGGAGTTTTAAGCTCAAAGATCTTAAAATAACAGTGAAGGGACAGTGCCTTTTAAATGTGCTTGGAGGCATTAACATATATGGGGTTTAGATGACCCTTTGATTTCTGGGTCCGTCATCTGCACAGTTTCTGAAAGCAGTAGGAAATAGGCCCATTCAATATGGTATTTCTTCTGCTCAGTGTTTCTAGGGGTGCAATTCATACCTTCACAAAGAAACTCTCATCCCCTTCATCCCAAAAACCTGACTAACCTGGAAATTGAACGGTCAGAATTGGGTTTAGTGCAACAAAGAGTTGTAGTGTTCATCTTAGGTTTGCTTTAATCTAACTTGAACTGAATAGATTTTTTTCATACATGTTTTCCAGAGCCTAAAGAAAGGTGAGTTATTAAAATTATTGAAAGATTATTTTTTTATAAAGGCTATTTATATAATAGGAACTATTATTAATATATATTCTTTATTTACATGATTTGTCCCATAGTCACTCTTTTAATTTTGCAGCCCAGTTCTATCTGTCCAAGACTCCCGTTTCCATTAACGTCACTGAGGGTGACCAGATATACTCCTAGGACCAAATTCAACCCTGGTGAAAGAGGACACAAGTACCATTGAAGTAGTGGGAGACACACCCACTAGTGCCAGAGGTGAACTTGGCCTAAGCCTCTTCAAAAAATTTTGGGCAATAGTCTTCACATTACTGAAGTTATATGCTGGCTATTCAAGGAACGTACGTTTAAACCCTCAGTCTTTGGGTCCACCATTTCTCCTCTTTCTTCCTCCTTTGGAAGTGATTGTTTAATCCAGTAACCAGTACATCAGAAATAATTGTTTAGTTTTTCAATACGATCAATAAGCAGTTCAACATACGGCAAATGCGCTGGCTAGCTCAAAGCATGTGGAGTTACCTAACATTTTATAGCTTTGTCTGTTTTGTGTGTGCGCGTGTGTGTGCGCGTGTGTGTATAATGTATATTTGTAAATCTAGTTGTTGTCCTCTTAACACAATATGATGTGTGCAATCAATTAAATTGGCACCACTTTTTGAAACTATTCAGAGTACCGAGGATTCCAGATTGCCCTTATGCACAACTACAGGTAGGACTGTTTTCCTAATTATCAAACAGGTTTTTTTAATTAGTGAAACCCATGGTTCTGAGGGTGTTGTTTACCCCAGCGTTTTAAACGTGCTAGATCTGCAGCACTTGGAGCGAATTCCAAAGGTCTGGAGCTTTCGGGGGTTCAGCTCGTTCACTTGCAGACACACACAGGTGCCGCTCAGTAAGTGCAATACCACATGTAATATAAAATATGCTGACGGCTGGTGTTAGATTAGCATATAAGTATATAAATTAACTGTACTTTGTGCAGGCTGTACTGATGAGGTAATGAGTGGTTGGCTTCATTTAGCAAATTGTAATATATTAAAAATGTGCAATCGATTACATTATGAAAGACTTTGGGGATTATAAAGCCAAGACTTTGGTCTTTCAAGACACTTTCAGAGTCAAGATCCTGCAGTTAATTACTGTACACACAGATACTTGACAGTGTTGGAGTGGGGGGAACCTGTTTTTGTGAAAACTACACAAGTTCCAAGAATAGTACAGGGAATGTGAAGTTTTATTTCCTTAGTTCTACTAAACGTTTTGGAGAAGTCCAGCGGACTTCCCGTTGCTCTTTATTGACTGTTACATACGCCTTTTGGTTCGTATGAATTTTTTTCACTCCTGCTAACCTTGATCATAGTTTCTAGAACACACTACCCTTCTATGTACTACTTTGCAGTCAACACTATTGTTTTAGCTCTTTTAAAACATGGCTTAGTTTCAGTTAGTTTAAATTCTGTTTAGTTCAAAATCTGAAACCCTGTTGGCTGTAGCTCTTTAATTTAACAGTAAAAGTGTTACACAAATGCCACATCAAGTGCTGTATTATCCTTATTTATCTGATATTGAAACAATGTTTGGCTTTCGTTATGTAAGAGACAGCCTTATTCAATCTGGACAGGTCCATGCAAATTTATTGGATCTTATGAGCCCAACTTTTCTTGTACTCAGCCCTTTCCTAGCCATTTACTTCTGTCAGTGTGGGTATAAATGTCTTTAATTCAAGCATAGAGTGTTTTGCACCCTTTTTGCACAAACTGAAAGGTATGAGGAATCAGGCTCTGTTTCTGAAAGTTACTGCAATTAAACGCTGTGCACAAGCTGTAGACGTTCTTATGGACATCAACTGGTAGAAGAAAGGAAACTTCATACTGATATAGACATTATATGATTTGGGGTAATTATAGTGTTTAAAAAAAACAAAAACAGTATGAGAATATCACGGGCTTTAAGCAACTGTTCTCACCATAACCAAGACGGACATTTGAAAAACGTAATGTTTCAGCAGAAAAAAATCCTTTTTTCCAAAAGGAAAACAAGGCATTTAAAGCCAGATTACATTCTTCTGTTACACCAGTTTTGTGCTGATGTAACTTCCCTGAAGATAGTGGAGTTACTACTGACCTAGATTGGTGTAAATGAGAGGATGTCATCTCTGCTTGGCTTCAGAAATAAGATCTGCTTGCAGACTGTGAAAGCACCTGTAACTGAGCTCTGGAGTTTTATAGAGATGGCTTGGAATGTAAATTTGTAATAATTTTTTAAACTATTGACACTTAAAGGAGATTTGAAAATACTCCCTTTACTCTGAGAATCAGCTGCACAAAACACTAAGTTTATTTCAAGTTTGAATTGAAACTGAATACCTTGCTCCTGCAAAACTTTGCAGGAGGCCTGCAAGAGCAAGGAGCCCAGGATTGGGCCATGCGTTTTCTTACGAAGCCATTAGGTAATGGTGATGTAGTGAAATACAACTTTTAAAACAGTACCTTTTTCAACTGTGAAGCTATGTTTGATTTAATGACAAAACAGGCTGCTGCTGATTAGTTTTTCATGAAGATATATTCTTTGCTTTCCTAAAGGTGGCAGAAAAGGCGCCTGTATTGACTTACATATGCACGCTTTTCTGTTCTGAAGGAGTGCATTAGTAGTTTCTTCATAAGTTAATCACACTTTCAGTATAATTTAAAAAAAAAAGTAAAGCATTTAAATAAAATGAAATTTGTTAGTGGTTTGGCATCTTGTGGAGGAGACATAAGCCTGCATATTATGGGCAATATAGAAATTACCAAGCATGTAGAAAACTTTGTATGTGATGACCCTGCTGTTGGTGTTTTGGAGTTGTTTTTCTTTTTTTTTTTTTTTAATCTTTTTCTTTTTTACAACTTTCCTTTTTATGTAAAATGTTAAAAGCCCTATAGTGGTTGGTAGCCCATGTTTGTTAACAGTTTGAAGGTATTTTCTTTGCTTTGTCATTTTATAACTAGCATGTTCCGATGTTTATGCTGAATAATTGTGAATTCCTTCTGTTGTGCATGTCTGTACAGGTTGCAGGCCTGGGCTGGACCCATTCAAAAAACAAAAATCAAAAAGCCACTTGAAATTATTATTTTATAGATGTCTTTGACATCTCAACAATACTTCAATTTAATGAAAATGGTGTGTTATTACAGAGGAAATTGTAATTTGCTGCTTCTAAGATTTTTTTCTTAACTTCCATGCTTCTTTCTTTTGTTTTAGTTTTACTTGAATGGAAGAACCACCACACTTATGTTGTTTGGGTTTTTTTTTTTTTTTAATATTATATAGCTGTGGACATTGTGTTGCAGATCGTTGAATCCCAATTTAATTTTGCAATACATGTTTCATACAAATAATGAATTTGTATCTTTTTTCACGGTGCAAGTTGTCTCAGTTTAGGTAAGGCTCTATCTCTCCAAAATGTGGAGCTCACTACACCTGCCGTTGATCATTTGGGTTTTTTACATCTGTGTTAATTAAGGAAGTCAACTGGAACCTGCATATTAGAGAGGTTTTTGTTTGTGTACAATAACCAAATCTTTAGGTGCTCTGGTCTTTAAGAAATTCTGATTTAACTTATGCTGATATAACACTGACTTCATTAGAATTACTCTGGATTCACAATAGCGTATGAAATCAGAATTAGAGTACGCGTATCTTAAAAGTCCCAGATTGTTTATTTATGATTCAGTATAAAAGCTGTTCTCTTGACAAGAAGAATGTTTACTAGCTGCCCCATTAAACACTTGACAATGTATTTTGAAATCTTTATTAACTAGCTTTTTCAGCTTTCCAATTCAGGATTACTGTGATCTTGTCTATAGTTACTTTTGTTTTTAAGACTTCTGGGACTTCTGTTGCCTGCTGGATTAAAGAAAGCTCTGTCCTCTTAAACTCTTTCATAGTATAAAGACTTGCAAAATCCACACTCAGGAAAAGTAGTTGCTCTTAATACAGTATTTGCAGTCCAGTATTCTTTTTGACTTCTGAGCTTTATGGGACGCAGTTTAAAAAACGTGAGGTCTTACTGTGTTAGCACTCCTGACTCCGATCCAGAATTGGATCCCTCTGTCCCTATTTCTTCCCTCGTACCACCTCCAAAATGATAAGGATAGGATAAGAACCACATAAAGTATTTGTCAGAGAAGATTAACTGAAGCAATGCTCTGCCCGTACTTTGAAGTTAGCTTCGTTGTTGGTTTGCATAAACGTGTCTTAAGTTTAAGTGTCCTTATTGTCACTTCTGTATGTGATGCAATGTTCATTCAGCACAAAGAAGGCCAAAAATACGCCATTCTGTCTTGACTCCCTCTGAAATTCTGGTGCTGATTCCCCAGTAGGTATAAGTTGGTTTAGGAAATACTCTGTTCCGTGTAACTGTATAAATTTAGTTGGGAAACTGTTCCAGTATTTGAATTAATTGTGGTTAAGCCTGACCTAATTCTTATAGAGAGCCTAGTGAAGTAGAAGCTGCATTTCCTAAGAGTCTTACGTCTGCTATAGCTCAGTTAATCCGTGAGGGCCAAAACATGGATATTCATAGCTGCAATCTCATTCCGCTTTGTTTTTTTTTTGGTTTTAAATATATTTAATTTCCTTATTAATAGTGTTATATTTCCTGAATTATCAGCTGGCCCAGGTTTTAGAAAGCTGTCTTATTTGTGGAGGGGGGAAGAAGGGAGAAAGAGATGAGTTCTCTTTTTGCCTTACAGCCACTATGGTCCAAATCTGTCATGTTTTGTTGTGAAGATAAATGTATAATTCATCATCTAGGAGTATCATCCTTTTCCCGTCCCGTCCCCCCCCTCCCACCCCTGCAAGTTTTAAATGTGAATATTCAATATACACTATATCAAAATCCAGTTGCATTCTAAGAAATTCAGTATATGATAATAGTAGAGAAAAGGATTCTACAAATAATGTAGCGCTGCAGTCTGTTTTCCCAGATTCTCACGCTTGAAGTTTTGAACATGTTTTTGTTATTGCACCTGGTACCAAAATTGCAAGAATTTTCACAAAATCACGGAATTGTTGAGGTTGGAAGGCGTCTCTGGAGATAAGCTGGTCCCAACCCCTCTGCTCAAAGCAGCGTCAACTACAGCAGGTTCCTCAGGGCCATGTCTAGCCAAGTTTTGAATATCTCTGGAAAGGAGAGTTCACAACTGCTCTGGGCAACCTGTTCCAGTGTTTGACCACACTCAGTGGAAAAAAAAAAAAAAAATCTTAATGTTTGAATAATTTCCTCTATTTCATTTCCTCTCGTCCTTTCACTGGCTCCAATGAGAAGAGTCTTGTTCTGTCATCTTTGCTCCCACCATCAGGTGTATGTACACAATGAGAAGTTCCCCCTGAGCCTTCCCTTCTCCAGGCTCAACGGTCCCGGCTCTCTCAGCCTCTCCTTGTATGTCAGATGCTTCAGTCCCTTCATCATCTTCATGGCCCTTCACTGGACTCACTGCAGTATGTCCATGTCTCTCTCGTATTGGGGAGCCCAGCACTGAGCCCTGCGCTGCAGATGTGGCCTCACCAGCGCTGAGCAGAGGGGAAGGATCACCTCCCTCGACGTGCTGGTGACGCTCTT